GGGGGGGGGGGGGGGAGATGGCCGAGATTGCAGTTGTGATCCTGCAGGAAAGACAGGCACGATCTCAGCCATCTCCCCCCACTCACCCCCAGCACAATCACAGCCATCTCCCCACTTGGAGAAGTGGGGAGATGGCTGCGATCAGGGTCTCCACCCAGTGCAGAGTTCGTGACCTGAGTTAAAAATTGTATGAAATTTTTGTTCATGACCCAATTTGGTCATGAACTGAGGCATCCATGAGCCAAGGTACCACTGTATTTGTTTCAATAGCTCTGTATGGTAGTTCTCCTGAGCACTGCCCCCTCCCCCCCATTTACCTTAATTGGGTGGTCACCTTAATTCAGCTCTGCATTTCCTGGTATTTGATAAGGGGACACCTCTGAAATCAGGACCAAAGCCACCCATCCCTTCTACGGGGGGTGATTCAGCCTCCACCGTCTGGGGTTCCCTGGGGCTGGGGGCAATGTGCCTCTTTGTCCAGAGTGTGAGGGAAGCAATGCACTCCCAGAGTTACCTGCATTGTAGGCCTTTTGTCAAGAGAAATTTTTCTGCTTACATCTTTAGATCAAGGATAGGGTCATAAGGTACTTATAGGCACCTGTGCACCCTCAGATGCCCTTCTTAGCACCCACTGAACTCTCCTACACTTTTTACTTTTATTTCTCTTAAACAGCAATATTTATTAGACAACATTAGATGTATATCCTGCCTTTTTCTTTTAAAAAAGAAGGCAGAATATACATTGAATAAATAAATATTTCTTACTGGCAACAGGAATTGCTTCAAGGAAAACTGAGGACTGCCAGTTACCCCACACATTTTTCATGAATGCACTGGGACTTTACATGGGGCTCAGAAATATTCCTAGAAAATGAAGGGAACAAGTGGCTGCAGGACAATGCTTTGATCTACAGCACAACCATTTTGTCGTGGTGCCCGGGACAGTTTAATAGCCCCCAAAGGTCACCTGCCCAGGCATTAGGCAGCCTGCAATTATACCCCATTATAGGAATCACAGTGGCCAAGGGATAGGCCAGCAATTTGTGAGGGTTTCTGCAGTATTTTGCAGGATGAGGCATGCCATTTTTATTCACCAGGCCCGTCACATCATATCAACAACAGTAGCCTAAGCTGTGTTTTATCTTGCTCCCCATTTGTGTATTTCAGGACGAGTTGGGCTGTGGAAAGACATCTTTACCGTCTCCATGAATGAGAAATTTGATTTAGTTTACAAACAGAAGATGGGAAAGTGTGACCTCACGTTTGACTTTTATTTATAAAAAAGCAAAAATGCATGTCTACAATCTCCAGATCCTAGCTAGAAGTGCTTTCTGCATTCATTTACTATTCGCTGGATACAACACAGTCCCTGTTATATATACACATACATATATCAATAGTTAAAAAAACAAAAAGGGCACCATGCATTGGGAAGTTTATATCAAAGAGCCCTGCTAGTTTGGACCTAAGGTCCACCTAGTACAGCATTCTCCTTGCAAAGTACAGTCAGCCAGATGCCCCTGGGAAAGCTGACCAGGAGGATAAAAAGTCAGCAGAGTTTCTCTGTCTCCAATATTTAGTATTTATGGAGTCTGCATGTCAGTATTCTGGCTAATAGAAATGAACAGTTATAGTCCAGGAATCTGTCTAATCCTGGTACACTCTGGATGTGGTGTACGATCACTTTTGTCATTTCCAGCCAGCACAACAAAAGGCCACGCAGGCTGGAAATGATTGGAGTTGCAGTCCTACACACATCTGATGGGCATGTGGTTGGAGAAGACTGGTCTACTATCTGAAAAAATGCTATTTAAACCTAGTGGCTATTGCACTTCATTATGCAGAAGTTATGTTTTTCCTTGTCTCTCCAGAACGCCTTCCAATTTCATTGGGTAATCCTGAATTCTAGAGTTGCAGGAGAAAGAGGGAACATTGTTCCAGTGTATTACTATTCATAATTCATACATACCTCTCCCAAGTCCTTTCTTAAAATTGATCATTTACAGGTTTACCCTGACAGAAGTCTCAAAAAAAATCCCTGGGACTTTTTCCTGGGGAAGTGGGTATAAGATTGTGGATGTGAAGCACAAGCCCATGGAAGTAAAGTAAATTCAGAAGTAAATTCTGCTGAGCTCAATGGACCCAAGGCACAAAAGAGTGTTCAGCATTAGGCATAGTCCCCGTAACGCAAAAGCCCCAAACACCTCATAATGAAGGTGTTCCAACCTTCATTTGCTGTACAGTTCAACAGCTCTCATTCAAATTCAATAGGATTTATGCAGTAAAACTTCCCAGTGTGTTTTGCCCAGGCAAAATCTAAGCAAACCATAGAAAGTATAACTATCTTTCACCCTGTCCTTCCCTTATAAACAAAACAATGTGTGTGCGCACGCGTGTGCATTCGTGTGCGTGCACACTCGCACGCACACATGAGACAGACAACCTGGCTGCTATGGAATACATTATGTACCTGTAAAGTATGAATTATATATGTAGTTAGGGATAAATGCCTTTCCAGACCCACTTTTATTTTAAACATTTTACAGGCGCTTTAGAGTGGAAATCTAAAAATAGTTCAATGTACCAAATAGTTCAGTGCACGCGTTCGTGCAGCTGGGACTCCAGCATCAACAGGCAATACCCACCCAAGTGCTATTTAGAACTGTCAAATGCCTTGTGCTGAAAGGACAGTAAAATTGGTTCCAGATGAAGCCCAGTGGTGAGATTATTGCATCATCTCTAGGGAGCTGGAAACAAGGTAGTCACCTGACCGCAGAACAGTGTCTAGCCTGCTTCTCTACCTTTAACAGAGGTTTGGTATGCAGAAATCAGCAGGTGACTAATTATTACCATCTCGTTGCTGTAGATCACTGCTAAAGGAAGAGCTGCCAAGTGGTCCAAAAGTTGCCAATCCCTCATCTGGAAGAATTGCATTTTTATACACATGGTTCATCTTTGTTTCTGTCATCTTCAAAGGCTAAAACATGGAAGGCAAAAGAAGGGTCTTTTACTTCAAAGATGAACAGTGTAGTTCATTTTAATTAGAGTATAAAAATTAAATATACTTCTGCTTCACTCCTTACTCAAAGCACTTTAATGCTGCTAATACTGAAGGTCCAAGTTATACTTAAGTCATGCCTAATTTTCATAGTTTATTAAGGATTATTGAGACAGGGCTACCTTTCACATAAATAAGCATGGATCTAGGCTGCACTGCTTTGGGTCACAGGTAGGGGTGTATATGACCAATTGCTTCTCTATACAGCCATAGAGGGCTGTCTCCAGGAATCAGTTTCCCACCCTTTTAAAAAGAAAATATTTTCATGAGGAGGGGCCTTTCTTCATGTGAGCGCCATCTGCAGTCTGAAATCTAAGCTCAGGCAGTTTCCATCTTAGTGAAAACTAGGCTTGAGTTATATTGAGTCCTGCTAATTTCCCATATTCTGCTTTGCAGATCAGCACTGTATTGTGCATCAATTATTGTAAGCAACTCTTAAAGGCTTATGAATAAAGAGTGAATATTAAACACATGCAAACTAGAACTAAAATGGTTCCCTGGATATGCAGACATGGTTATTGAACTTTTATTGCATGGAACCAGGAGAACCTCAGCTGAACCCAACTGGAACTAAAACAGAACAATGGAGCAGTTGGCATCCTGATTCTGGTACCACATTCCATCTTTCACAGGTATGATGTTTCTCCCCTGCTATTTAGTTGGGTCCAACCTTTATACTGGGGAAGATATATTAGTGGGAAATTGTGGAAAACTCATTCACTCTTTGACCAACCATAGTTATCTTTGTCAGCTAGTCTGAACACGTTGCTCCACAGCCTCATTGCTTCTTGATCGGTAGGTGAATCATTTTAGCTAGCAGTTTTGCTTTAGACTACTATTAAAGGCACAGATGTGGTGTTCAGGTAAAAAGCTGACCCACCTCACTAAAGCTTTAAATGATCTAGTTCAGCCACAAGGCCTCCATCAGTACAGCGCAGAGGGGAAGTAACTGGGGAAGAGTATGGGGCTGCCCGTGCTTTATTCAATAAATACACATTTGTTCAGGTGTTCAGTACTTGTAGGTAAAGAACATGTGAAAGGGCAAGCAGGAACACATGAGATTAGCCTTGCCTCTCCAACTAGAATGTGCCTGTCAGCCATGCTTTCCAGCTCAGGAGTGATAAGTATAATCTGCAGTGGGGCTACCTATAGCCTGCATACTATATATGTATTGTATAGCATTTGAATCTAACAGGATCATAAAACAAACCAATAATACACAGTATACAGTTCAGGACTGACTACAGTGAATCTGAATGATAATTATGTGTGTTTACTATATATATTTATTCGGGAAGTCAGTTGTGTATTGCCTGTTAACTATTCTTGTTTTTCCACTTTATTAAAGTACTACCAGGCCACAAATTAGAGAGCTGTCTGCTGTTTAATTATCATTTTGTTCAATTTATAAGTTGTCCTATAGCCAAGGCTCTCAGAGCAACATGCTTAATGAAAACAAGTACACTAAAACCAATGATAAACAAAATGCAAGCACTTAAAAGCAGAAACAATAATCTAAGTTTTAAAAAAGCCAGATAGTTATCAGCTAAAACATGAAAAAGATTGTTTTAAAACTCCTCTTTAAAAATTGAGAATAAAACATGCAGCAATTTGATACAGGTCATGTTGCAGCCCTAAATTTTTCCTGCACCATTTGTCCTCTAGTCTCTTTACCTATCTTCTCCCACATACAGGTGCCAGAGTCTTACTTGCTCTAAGAAGTTGAAAGAAAAGATAGGGAATGCCAGACTGCAGCCTGGAGACCCATATTGTACCCTTAAGATCACTGGTGAAATGAGAAATCCACTACCCGCTTCTCCCACTGTTCCTTTCTCCAGTGTTCATTCACCACACACAAATGTACAGTCTGGCCATATGCTCTGCAACTTGGGTTTTTATTTGTTACAGAAGATGGACCCCACTTCAGTGACTTGAAACATACAGCATGAATCTCCAAGTTGCAATTACTAACTTGGCAGTTCTAGTGGATGGAAGGGCTAGAGAAGCTGGATAGAGGATTCCACCCATATCCTCTTGCAGTCTTGGGGTTATTAGTGGGAAAGAATGTGCTTCTCCAGGTTGCAGCCTGGCAGCTCTACTTCATTATGGCTCAAAGAAAGCTATAAGAAGGGATGGACCACAATTACCATCTTCAGTGGATAGAGGAAGGCAGTTCTCAGTCACTGCAACTGTTAGCAAACGGTGTTGAATGTTGTGGATTGTCAGCACTTCTTGTATATCTGTGAGTGAAACTGCTTTCAGTAAACTTTATTTTTATATTTTAGTACTGTTAAGAATATTTAAGCACTACACATTATACTTCTGTGCTTGCTTGCTTATTTAATAAAGACATGTTCCATGTATGTTAGCCATCTGTGATATTTATTTCAGGGTTATGCTGTGGAAGAAAAAGTACCTGAGAAAGGGAATTAATGCGTTGAACAAAATCCAGGTGCCTGTCCATATGCTTCCATAATTTGTCAGTGATAACAAATATAATTCAGCATAGGAAGCCTGATGCCTAGTTCATACACTTGCAAAGAATCTATATTATCTGTCACTTCAAATGTGAAATCATGCAACATGAGAATGAAATGTGTAATCGACACTGCAACTCATTGTGACCAGTCACAAATGGCTGAGACCCCAGGTTTCAGTCCTTTGTCAGAATTCCCCAGCATTACTTCCTTCCATGCACTGTTTTGATTTTATTCATTAACATGTGGATTACCTGGATGCTTGGGATGAAATGTAATCAGTCTACAAAGCACATGTTCTCTCCCCTTTCCATCTAGCATTGGTAACAAGGAATACATCTTGTTGATGCTGAAATAACTTCCCTTCCCTGTAAATTTGTTCACAGTTCCAGTTCAAGAGGCTGATGTTCACCTATAGTCTTAAACAGTTTGCTCCACCATCTCTCACTTGACTCTCCCACTGACTTAACAGCTTTGAGGTGATGCACACAAAAGGCAAGGTCTTTTCAGATGTGCCAGCTTAAACCATCTAACAATCTTTCCCTTCCCCCTTTTCAACAGTTCCCTTTAATGTCTTTTAAAAATCAGTTTGAAATGTTGCTGAGTTCTTATCCTTTCATTCAGCTTACCACCTTTTAAATGTATCTTTACTGGTGTAACAACAGTTTTGTTTATACGTTGCTATGTAGCATTGCCTTCTGCCACCTCCCTTGCTTTTGCTGTCTGTGAGTATATGTGTATGTTTACTTCTGACATTTTTCTTTCCCTTTTTTATTGGTTTCTTTGCTTATTTTATTTCATTACTCGCATTGATTTCAATTGCGTTCCATGCTGTCTTTAAAATTATGTCTGAAAGGCAAGATACAATCCAGCTCATAGCAACTCTTGCTTAGAGTTAGGAATAAGAGAGATTGATCAAAAACTTAGCAGCATAATAAACCTGGTCAGAACATAGTTGAAGGAGAGAGAGAGAGAAGCAGAGAAGCCCTGTTCTCTCATGCCTTCCCTAAGTACTTCTGAAGCAGCTGGAATCACTTGTAGTGGGAAAGCAGTGGTCCCAATGGGGTTGCTGGGGCAGGCTTTCCCAGTGAGTTTGAAGCATCCCACCTCTCATGTTGCTGTGGGTGTGTGCATATGTGCTCTCTATATGTGTAGCCCTCATCCCATGACCAATATTGGATGTAGCCCTTGGGGGCAACAATTTGGCACACTCCTAATAGACAGGCTCCTTGAAACAACTACAGCTACATGCAAAAGACAAAAGAGAAAGCCATACAGCAGCTCCTCAAGGATGGCAAAGAGATAACAGATGACAAGGAAAAGGCAGAAGTGCTCAACTCCTACTTTGGCTCAGTCTTCTCCCACAAAAGAAAATGTGACCTGCCTACAGAGGAAGAAATGCAAAATGAAAGCGAAGGATGGCAGCCTAAGATCAACAGACAAATGGTCAAGGAGCATTTTGAAGAGCTAGATGCATTCAGATCTCCAGGACCTGATGGGCTCCTTCCTAGAATATTAAAGGAACTGGTGCAAGAGCTCTCTGAGCCACTTTATATCATATTTGAGAAATCTTGGAGAAGAGGGGAAGTTCTGGCTGACTGAAGGAAAGCTGACCTGGTCCCCATCTACAAGAAACAGAAGAAAGATGAACCAGGGAACGATAGACCATTCAGCCTAACTTCAATCCTTTGGAAATCACTGGACCAAATAATTAAAAATTTAGACTGTATGCACCTTGAAGAAAATGTAGTGATAAACAGAAGCCAACATGGATTGCTTAAGAATAAGTCATGCCAAACCAACCTAATCTCATTCTTTGACTGGGTTACTACCCACATGGACAGAGGAAATGCAGTGGACATTATTTACCTAGACTTAGCAAAGCCTTCAACAAAGTGCCCCATGGCATCCTAATAAATAAATTACTGAAATGTGGACTTGACAGAACTACTATTAGGTGAATCCACAACTGGCTTCAAAATAGGTCATAGAAAGTGATAGTGGCAGCTTCTCAACCTAGAAAGACATTATGAGTAGGGTACCATAGTCCTAGCACCAGTACTTTTCAACATCTTTATTAATAATCTTGATGAGAAAATCCAAGGAATGATAATTAAATTTGCTTATGATACTAAACTGGGTGGAATAGCTAGCACTCTGGAAGACCACAAGAAGATCCAGGGAGACCTACACAAGCTTGAATGCTGGACAGAAAACAACAGAATGAAATTGAACAGGGAGAAAGTCCAAGTTCTCCACCGAGGCAAAAAAAATCAGTTACTCTGGGGAATATGGGGAATATGTGGCTTAGCAGTACTGAGAGTGAAAGAGGCCTTGGAGATGTTGTAGACAACAAGCTAAATATGAGCCAGCAATGTGATGCAGCCACAAAGCAAACACTATGTTGGGATGCATAAATAGAGGTTTCACTTCCAGAAATAGAGAAGTGCTCATTTCCCTCTAATCTGCATTAGTTAGACTCCACCTAGAATACAGTGATCAGTTTTGAGCACCCAGATTTTAAAAGGATGCTGGTAATCTGGAGAGGGTTTAGAGGAGAGCAACAAATATGATATGGGGCCTAGAAAATAAGTCTTATAAGATGCTGAAAGAACTGAGCCTGTTCAGCCTTGAAAAAAGAGGACTACGAGTTGCCTCAAAGGCTGCCACAAAGAAGAAGAGAAAGACCTATTCCTTCACTCATCCCAAATTTTAGGACATGGAACAATGAACTTAAACTACAGCACACCAGGTACCGGCTAGACACAAGGAAGAATTTCCTAACTGTAAGAGCAATGCAACAGTGAAACCAGCTGCCAAGAAAGGTTGTGTGCGCTTCTACACTAGAGATATTCAGGAAGCAAATAGACAGTTATCTGAGTAGGAGTAGGATGGTGTAAATGGCATCCTGCACCGGCAAGGGGTTGGACTCAATGGCCTTCTTGGCTCTTCTGACCCAACTATTCTATGATTCTATGAACTGGGAC